CGATGGGAAATTCATGTGAAATCTATGGGAAATCTATGTGAAATCTATGGAAATCGATGGGAAATCTATGTGAAATCTATGGGAAATCTATGGAAATCGATGGGAAATTCATGTGAAATCTATGGGAAATCTATGGAAATCTATGGAAACCGATGGGAAATTCATGTGAAATCTATGGGAAATCTATGTGAAATCTATGGGAAATTCATGGGAAATCTATGTGAAATCTATGGGAAATTTATGGAAATCTATGGAAACCGATGGGAAATTCATGTGAAATCTATGGGAAATCTATGTGAAATCTATGGGAAATCTATGGAAATCTATGGAAATCGATGGGAAATTCATGTGAAATCTATGGGAAATCTATGTGAAATCTATGGGAAATCTATGGAAATCTATGGAAATCGATGGGAAATTCATGTGAAATCTATGGGAAATCTATGTGAAATCTATGGGAAATCTATGGAAATCTATGGGAAATCTATGTGAAATCTATGAAATCTATGGGAAATCTATGTGAAATCTATGGGAAATCTATGGAAATCTATGGAAATCGATGGGAAATTCATGTGAAATCTATGGGAAATCTATGTGAAATCTATGGGAAATCTATGGAAATCTATGGAAATCGATGGGAAATTCATGTGAAATCTATGGGAAATCTATGTGAAATCTATGGGAAATCTATGGAAATCTATGGAAATCGATGGGAAATTCATGTGAAATCTATGGGAAATCTATGTGAAATCTATGGGAAATCTATGGAAATCTATGGAAATCGATGGGAAATTCATGTGAAATCTAGGGAAATCTATGGAAATCTATATGGGAAATTTATGTGAAATCTATGGGAAATTCATGTGAAATCGATGGGAAATGGGAAATCTATGTGAAATCTATGGGAAATCTATGGAAATCGATGGGAAATTCATGTGAAATCTATGGGAAATCTATGTGAAATCTATGGGAAATCTATGGAAATCTATGTGAAATCGATGGGAAATCTATGGAAATCTATGGAAATCGATGGGAAATTCATGTGAAATCTATGGGAAATCTATGTGAAATCTATGGGAAATCTATGGAAATCTATGGAAATCGATTGGAAATTCATGTGAAATCTATGGGAAATTTATGTGAAATCTATGGGAAATCCATGGAAATCTATGGAAATCGATTGGAAATTCATGTGAAATCTATGGGAAATCTATGTGAAATCTATGGGAAATCTATGGAAATCTATGGAAATCGATGGGAAATCTATGTGAAATCTATGGGAAATCTATGGAAGTGGACAAGTCGATGGGAAATTCATGTGAAATCTATGTGAAATCTATGTGAAACCTATGGGAAATCTATTGAAATCGATGGGAAATTCATGTGAAATCTATGGGAAATCTATGTGAAATCTATGGGAAATCTATGGAAATCGATGGGAAATTCATGTGAAATCTATGGGAAATCTATGTGAAATCTATGGGAAATCTATGTGAAATCTATGGAAATCGATGGGAAATCTATGTGGAATCTATGGAAATCTATGGAAATCGATGGGAAATTCATGTGAAATCTATGGGAAATCTATGTGAAATCTATGAAAATCTATGGAAATCGATGGGAAATTCATGTGAAATCTATGGGAAATCTATGTGAAATCTATGGGAAATCTATGGAAATCGATGGGAAATTCATGTGAAATCTATGGGAAATCTATGTGAAATCTATGGGAATGGATGGGAAATCTATGTGAAATTCATGTGAAATCTATGGGAAATCTATGGAAATCTATGGGAAATCTATGGAAATCTATGGAAATCGATGGGAAATCTATGTGAAATCTATGGGAAATCTATGGAAATCTATGGAAACCGATGGGAAATTCATGTGAAATCTATGGGAAATCCATGGAATTTGGGAAATCTGGATTTTTTGGGTGGAAACTCCTGCAAATGGATGGAAAAATCTGTACATGTGCTGCTGGTGTTCCACATTTTCCGGGTCAGAATCAATTGTTCCACTGCTGGAATTCTTTAGGGCTCAACTTGAAGGATTTTTTGCAGATCCGAAAATTGGTGCTTGACCAACCCAAAATGGTGACTTTGAAGGCTAGAACCATGCCAGAATCAATGATTTGGCAAATCCTTGTTGCTTTTCTTGATGTGCCATATAATTGTACAAGTTGAAACATGGAAAATGGTGCAAACTGCGAGTATCAGCTGCAATCTGTCTATGTGTTGGATTCTTGATCCAAGTGTCCTTGATTTGGGCATTTGTTTTGGCATCGTTGTAAAAGTGTATACATATATATATATCTCTCTCTCTCTATCGCCCTCTCCAAGAATATATAATGCTTATGACTGGTGATTTTAACTTAAAACATTTGGGGATGTGGGTGCTTCAATTTCTTTGATTTTAAGGGATTTCTTTATTGGGTTTTTTCTTGAAAATCACATTCACATACAAGATATACAGTACAAGAAATGGATTTTCCGTCGCCAACGAACTTGGATGGGGGTTGCTATGAACATTTGGATATTCCCAGTATGTAAACATATTTACATAGCGAACATGCTGGGAATATCCAAACGAACTGGGAATATCTATATGTTTCATCCAAATCAGTATTTTTTAATAGGTACAACATCTGGTCATTTCTTACATAGCGAACTGAAAAATGACCCATAGAAATAGATGACGTGCCTACTAAAAAATGCTGATTTTCCAGTTCGCTATGTAACAAATATTTCCATATCCCTATGTTAAATAACTCATTTATCCATGTAACAAATCCGCCGACCCCGGCCTTCGCCAAGGCAGGGGCGGCGCCTGGGACCACCGCAGGTGTGGAACCTGTTCCGTTTCCGGGCCTTCAAACGCCTCAAACCGTCCGCGGCAGCTTCGACCAAGCACTCAGGCCATAGCTATCTGGGTTTGCCGCAGCCATCTGCTACTATTACGGCGTTCAACCTGCCGTTTGCCCGCCTTCAAAGCTTTAAAATGCTCCGCGGCAGCTTCGACCAGGCACGCAGGCCACAGCCATTGCTACTATTGGCGTTCGAGGCTGCCGTTTGCCCGCCCTCAAAGGCCTAAAACTTTAAACGCTCCGCGGCAGCCATCTGCTACTATATCGGCGTTCGAGGCTGCCGTTTGCCCGCCCTCAAAGGCCTAAAATGCTCCGCGGCAGCTTCGACCAGGCACTCAGGCCACAGCCATCTGCTACTATCGGCATTCGAGGCTGCCGTTTGCCCGCCCTCAAAGGCCTAAAACGTTCCGCGGCAGCTTCGACCAGGCACTCAGGCCACAGCCATCTGCGACTATCGGCGTTCGAGGCTGCCGTTTGCCCGCCCTCAAAGGCCTAAAACGCTCCGCGGCACCTTCGACCAGGCACTCAGGCGGAAATTTGAGGCTGAAACCAAATAGTAGCCATTTTGGGGGGCGGGCTGTCTTTTAGCCTGAACACCAATTCAGGCGAGATTGTCCATTCAGGCTGGAAATGTCATCTTGAGCATAATTGCAGAAAGCATTTCCAGGCGAGAATTTAGAGGCAGAGGACATTCCAAAGGTCAGGCAGAAAAAACGGTCCGAACACGTTCAGGCTCAAATTCTAGCCTGAGGGTGCTCTAGGTATATGTGTGTATCTCCGCCGACCCCTGCCTAGCCCCCCCTTAATGGGGGGTTCGGCGGCACCAGGGCGTTAGCCCATTTATAACCAAAGGGTATCGTCCCATCTAAATCCCGAAATCTCAAACATAGCGACAATTTTGCACGCCAGGACACTGATCAGCCATGGGTGCGTGAGGTTGTAAATGGCGTTGCCGTTCACATGAAACAACCTCGGTGGTCGTGAACCGAGAACAACGGCAACGTTCATGGAAGCCTCCGGTGGTGGGAAATCCAAGATAAATCAACTATCAATTGCTGATTGGAAAATGATAAATCCACTATCCAAGATAAATCAACTATCAATCCACTATCAATCCACTATCAATCCACTATCAATAATAATGGAGGTTTCGTTCGCTTGGAAAATCAACTATCAATTGATGCTGTTCCGTTCGCGTTCGCCACGTCGGAGATCCAACGGAAGCGTTGGATCTCGATGCAAACATCTCCTCTGAAGGTACCCAGGAACCTTTTATGGCTGGGTAAACCATCTATAAATGGTTAATCTATGGTTAATATATGGAGAATCTATGGTTAATGGTTAATAGTCCAAGTAAATGATGCCCATTCATACCCCCCCTGATGGTATGAACCGTTTCGATCTGAACTTTCAGGTCTGACTCTAAAGAGTATTCACCAACCTTAAACCAACCCCATCATGATGCTCAAAAGCCCAAAAAATCCCATGTTCAGTGGTAAATCCCCAGTAATGGGGGTAAAACAATGCCATAAACCATCCCCAATTTCACCATTTAACAATAATAAACCTCAAATTCATCTAATTTCACCATTTTTATAGGTGGTATAACCTTACCATTCCCAGTCATGGGTGGTTTATGACATGCATAAACCAATCATAAGTCCCAAGTTCACCATTTTGATGTATGTTTACCATCAACCATCCCCCAGTCATCACCATGTTTATCATTGTAACGATTATTATCACCAATTACTATAGTAATCATTCCCATTAACTTACCCTCTGGTAAACGTTTACATAACTATGGAAAGATCCACCATTTTTCATGGGTAAATCAACTATGTCTATTGCCATGTTCAGTAGTTTTTTGTATGTTTACCAGAGGGTAACTATTAACCATTAACCATAGATTATCCATAGATTAACCATAGATTAACCATAGATTAACCATTTATAGATGGTTTACCCAGCCATAAACCATTTGAAGTCCCGTTATCCATATCATATTATCCCATTATTATCCCATATCATTGATATATCTATATATATATCCATAACCATAGATTAACCATAGTAACTTACCATTCCCAGTCATAAACTTACCATTTTTATAGCTACAAACCATTCCCAGTCGTCAAAGGGACACGTCCGCCGGCAGGCTGCTGAGATAAGGATCCCAGGTGTCGCCTGGCTGAAAACAACACCGGTGATCCCTAAAGAAATGGGAAGTGAAGCAGCAAACATACTACCATATTAAACATATATCTGAACAGTTGGGATTAAATGTTATAGATGATATGATATTATCAATTACCGTATATATATATAGTGATATGGATGATAAGATATGGTAAATCATCATAATATATGGTGAATATGTGGTTAATATACTGTTAATAATGCTTTATATATGGTTATTATATGGTTAATGATAGTAATATTACCCTGTATGTATATATATATACATAGATTATATATTATTACTACCATAGGTATTCATATATATTAATTGGTGGTTTCAACCATCTTAAAAATATGAAAGTCAGATTGGATGATTCTTCCCAATATATGGAAAAATAAAAAATGTTCCAAACCACCAACCAGTATATATAATATGTAGTAATATTATATCATCTATGTTTGTCATATATACAAAAATCCCCTATAAATCCCTACAGGATGGGGCCCCCCAGTGATGTTTGTTGGTTTATAAAGCCCATTAACATCCATTAACTAGTTCGTTATATCTCCCATAAACCATAGCTAAGCCACTTATAAGGCAACTTAGCTATCTTGGGGGCCCCATCCTGTAGGTATTTATATCTATATATATATATACCACATCAATACAAGTGAGGTATCCTCAAAATAGTCCGAAAAATCGGGTTTTAAGATGTTTGAATCAGGCTTTGGACCACCTGAATGGCTTTAGAATGTCGCATCTAACCACACGATGTTTGAAGCTACCGGAACCCATCTGCAGGTCTCAACCTGCGGTCCGTTTCGTGTTTACGCATTGAGGTTAGTTAAAAGCTGTAGATGGCGATCGGAAGGCAAGCTGGTGACGGCTCAAAAACTCTTGGAGGCGCCCCCCAAAAAAAAATCCGGTGATTTCACCATGGTCGAAGAACATGATTCGCGGGTGACCATCGAAATAAATCAACGAATTTATAGACTAATCTTTTCTTTGGACCCTATAATTGGGTGGTTTCCTCAGGTTGATAAGATAAGATTAATTTAGTTCTTGATCATTGATAGGTTGATAGAGAAAAGATTGAAATTGCTTGATATTTGAATGGTTAAAACCAACTCACTATGTGTAGTGAAAAATAAGATAAGTTCATTTGATTGCTGGTGTTTTGGAAAATTGCAACCACAAAGGTGTCATTGATGATTCAAATTGAACCCGCGGTTATCCCCCCACGAACTCGGAACCCCAATTTATAGCTTGATTCAAAGGCAAATCATCTACCCTCCAGTAAATTAACATGACGACCCTGGTAGTTGTCGGGGTTGGAAGATTAGCTTCCTCTAAAAATTGGTGATTTTCAGGGTCCAACTGTTAATTTACCAGAGGGTACTTTCATGGGCCATGGCCATTCACATCATGTTCGCTATGTCAGAGCTGGGAGATTTGCTGGACCATATCGGCACAGCATCCTGCTGTGGGTCAAAAGCTATCAATTTTCGGATGAACATCTAGTTACCCGGCCTGGTAAACAAACAGTTTCCCATTAATCTATGGTTAATCTATGGTTAATAGTTAATAGTTACCCTCTGGTAAACATACATATATCGCTATTGAAGCCATGGCCATTGAAATCGTGGATTTACATGGATTTACCCAGCTATTTTACATGCTGGATCTTTCCACAGTTCGTTTTTTCTAAACGTTTCCCCATTTCGGTAGTACCAGATGCGACGCCATGTTTCTGCGACGCACCTCGGTAGCGGCTGCCACGGATGGCCACCGTTGCATCATAGGCTTCCGCCACGAATTGATGGAGCCAGTTGTCCCGCACGGGGACCTCGGGACATGACACGGGAAGCCATGACACGCGAACGGCGAACGAAACCGCGACGTGGATTTTATGGTACCTTTATAATCCTTTATAGTTGTTCCGAAACGAAGGATGGTGATTTTCCACTTCGCAAACTGAAAAAAAGTGTACAGAAATTGGGTGTTTGTGGTGAACATTCACCATGTTTTGGTTGTTTTTGTGATGAAAAGTGATGAAAAGTGGGGTGAAAAAGCAGCAACCAACAGCAATGTCTTCCACAGAAAATCCAGCGGAGACACTGCAGACATCAACAGCTCTGGAGAAAGAGGTTTTCAAGATGTTGGAAAATATCATGGTAAATTTCCCAGATTATAATAGAAATATTAACTATATATCTGTATATGTATATATATAGATGATATTTTGGACATATATCCCATACATCACATTAAACATCCATGTATATCAATGGGATGGTGACATATATTACTGGGTAAATTATAATAATTCACCAACCTGAATTAAAGCCAGCTATGGGGATGATTTCCCATAAATACACCATGATTTCCAGGTTTCCGCCGCGACGTGAGGTCGTTAAGAAATATACCCAGATGATATGTCCTTCATAATTTCCATGTGTCCAACTGTTCTACCTATTTGGGGGTTGCTACATAGGCAAAAACTGCCTTGATGGATCACAAATCAAAGTACTTCAAAGTCCCAGAGCTGATTCATTGGGCCATCAAATTCAAAGATTTCCCTATATATATATCCCAATATATAATATATAACATGATATTATATATATATGTATTATATATATATCATGTTATATATTGGGAAATATATATTTACCAATCGGTATAGATAGTATATATACCCCTCTGGTGATTTCCGTAGCGACGGACAATGACCCATTCAGTTCGATGCTAAATCCATTGGTTAAATCATCATTTTCCCAATGGATTTAGATACGTAAATGGATTAGAGGTTAATAATAACTTGTAGTATCATACCCAATGGTTAAATCCGCATTTTTTTTTAAATCCCTATTAAAGGTGGATGCTAAGGGCCACCATCAGCCTGTGAAATTTACCGATTGTTGTCAAAGCTTATGGTACTAAATGGCCTTGATATGATACTAGAAGTATATGGCTATGCCCGGTATGCCCCATGTTCAGACAGCTGGCCATAAAAACACATCATACCTTGGCAGCTGGCCATGCCAGCCGCCTGGAAACGCCCTATTTTTGGTTGTTGAACTTTTTTTGGATGGGCCCCCATCCTCAATGGCCAATTTTTCTGGGAAAATGGAGGCGGCTTCGCATTTCATTAATCGGATTACCCTAAATGGTAACGACTAACAGTTTGCGAACTGGAAAATAACCATTTTATAGCAAGGTAAACCATCTATTTCGATTAGGGCCATTTTAATAGGTTTACCAAAGGATACCCCACAAAGCTAGCAGTGTTTAGCTATGACGCTTGGGTCAACAACCAATTTGCCCGAAATGGTAAACGTTAACAAAACGAACTGGAAAGATCCAGCATTTTATAGCTGGGTAAATCAACTATTTCAATGGCCATGGCTTCAATAGCGATATATGTATGTTTACCCGAGGGTAAGGTTCTTTAAGCATTGATCACATCCCCATGCTTGTCGCTCCATCGGTGGGTTGGTTCCCAAAACTTTTCGTACAAGCAGCCGCCAGCTACTATGTTACCAAGCTGGTTTCTGAAACACCAGGTTGACATGGGATAACTATGGTCTATGGTAGACATATCTATAGTTAACAGGGATTTCTTACATATCTATAGTACATCTATGGCTGTGCATTGCGCAAGTTTCTGACAACACCAAAAAGGCATCACTATCCTCAACTTCATCAACGTCTGCCAGGGTGCAGCATCAAACTCCATGAAATAAAATGCATCGTAGTTTCCAAAGGTGCCATCCTCGGTCAAACCCTCGCTGTGCCGTCAATTTGGGATGAAGCGCCCAATTCTTGGCAGCTTTCCATTGGGGATCCCCAATGATGCTTGATTTCATGGAAAATCTACTGTATATGGATGATTTTAGGTAAATCTACTGTATATAAATGGAGAACATCCAAAAAAACTTGGATGTTTTGGGTACCCCCTAAATCCTTCGGAAACCGCCATATGTTTCACACCATAAAACACCATGTCCCACCCAACCGTCTGCCGGGTCGCGCGAAAGGATCGCATCACGAAGAGAAAAACCGTGTTTGGACCGTTCGCCCAGTCGTTGCGTGCTGCATAACCTCGTGCGTCCTTAGAAGCGGAAGCCAATGCCATCTGGGATGTTTTACCACAGCATGAAATAGCCATGTTATACCATGAATATACGTACTAAACATGGCTTTTTACCTACTAGACATGGTTTTATATACCATATACCGGTAGGTATATACCGACTAAAACATGGGTTTACCATTGTTTACCTACTAAACATGGTGATTTCCATAATGTTAAATGTTACCACAGGGTACCAAGGAAGACTTGGAAACACAAAAATCGTTGATGTTTTCGGGGTCCGAATGCTCATGGCATGATGGTGTCCTGCCATTCTCCCCATTGTGTCCCAGGGTACCATTCCTTTGCTAGTACACTCTGGTCATTTAACAGTTCGCCATGGAAAGATCCACCATGCTATTAATAGGTAAACCATGGTAAACCATCTATTTCTATGGGCCATTTTCCATGGCTATGTTAAATAACCAGAGGGTAAATGGATCCGAAAATGGTGTATACCAACCAGTAAATGGTGGCAATGATGACACTGATGACTCACCAGTGGATAGTATGCGATGATTTTCACCACCTGATTCCCCAGTGATTTTTTTCGCTGAAATCACCATTCCTCAACCGAAGGTCGGCATGTCGGATCACCTGGAACCATGCTTCCACTATTGGTCTCATCCCCCAAGATGAACCATCTGGAGATTCTTAGTGACGGTTTGACAAAGAAAAAACGATCGGGTACCGTTCCTCTTCTTATTCGAATCAATCCATGTGTTTGAACTGGAAATGGCCTCGTCAATCCATGGCACTTTGGGTCATTTCTTGCCATACCAATCAACATTTTTTCATTCCAATATGTGTCTCAAATCCATATTTTGACATATGTCACAAATTCATTAATTAACCCATTATCCATAGCCATTAACCGATCATTAACCAATCATTAAATCCCATCATATTCCCATTTTCCATAGCTATTCCATATATTAACCATAGGTTATCAATATATTAACCATAGATTAACCATAGTAAACCATAGATTTCCCCATGATTTCCTCGTGCCGTAGCGTCGTAGACGTCCTCCTGCGCGGTGAGCTTGGCATCGAAGGCGCGCACGGAGCCGAAGCACGAAGACCAGGCCGTGCCCGACCTGGGCTTTGCGATGGCGTTGGTTCACCAAAGGTGCTGTTTCTCCATGGAAAAAATGAACATATTATACCATATGTATATCATATATATACCATATATATATATCATATACCATATACCATATATATATACCATACCAAAAAAAATGTATTGTATATGGAGAAAAAGAAGATTTATATGGGTAACTGGATTTCATCACTGGATTTTGCTGCATTTTTTTGGTGCCACTGGAGCTAAGGCGGACGTGGTTTGGAGTTAGACCCCTGGAGAATTGACGATTTGTTTTTTTTCGAATTAAAATCCCATTTTCATGGTTACCATGGGTCAAAGTATTGACACCAACTATAGACTTAATTAACATTACTTAATCATTTCTGAACCATTTCTTCCACGGTGAAAAACATGGATTTCAGGCAGAGCCTTTACCAGTATTTTACGGTGTCTAAGTCAGGATTTCGAGTGGAATTCTCATGGGATGTATCATGAGATGGGATAATCTATAGTTAATATATGGATAATATATGGAGATTCTATGGTTAAATGTCAATTTGATACCATCTGGTTATTACTAACAGTTTGCGAACTGGAAAGATCCACCATGCTATTACTATTAATAGGTAAACCATCTATTTCAATGGGCCATGGCTTAACCATGGCGAACTGTGAATGTCATAAGCAGGCCGGGTAAATTGATAAACCATCTACAAAAAATAAAAATGCGCTCATGAAGCAATGAGATCCAATGATATTGATAAACCATTGACCATAGATTATCCATATATTAACCATAGATAAACCATAGATTAACCATTTATAGATGGTTTACCCAGCCATAAACCATTTGAAGTCCCATTATCCATATCATATTATTCCATTATTATCCCATATCACTAATATATATATATATATCCATAACCATAGATTAACCATAGATTAACCATAGTAACTTACCATTCCCAGTATTATTGGATTAGTTCAAAATTATTGATATCCATTGATATAAAGTTTCATAATAGTTATTGCTCATTGTTCAGAAGGTGAATGATTCAACCGGGGAATCACGAAATCATCGTGCCCAGTCGTGCGCAGTCGTTGCGAAAAACTCCATGGTGGTGGTGGGTCGGTTTCAAGGCTCCAGTACCCAACATCTGTGAATTTCAATCCCAGCAGATCACCTTGAGACAATACTACAAGATATACCGGTAAATTCTTTCAGGCCTTGAACTTTTAGAATCTTTTAGATATATCTACCAGAAACATCCATAAACCATAGTTAACCTATTATCAAGCAACTTAGCTATCTCGTGGTCGCACCTTCTTTATTCTTATTATCCAAGGATGTATGGCCAAAAATGATTCTGCTCTCTGCCCCTCAAATGCTTCCTGGCCATTTCCGAACAAACCCCATATCCATTGTTCATTGGTGTTTTTATCGGCTGGTTCATGATAAAATGTCCTCACGGACGATTATATCAATGAAAAATGGACCATGAATTTAAGGGAAATTCAATGGTTTGCGAAAAGGCCATTACTATGGCTATCTATGGTTTGTCAATACCAAGAAATTATTTCTATGGATGACAAACTATCAAATGGGATTTTTCAATACAAGAAAATACCAATTATTTCTAAGGTTTTCCTATTTTTTGTCAATGGTTTATGGGATTTTCCATGAAATAAACCATCCAGAAATTGAGGATCCTCCATGTGGAAACTCCCATGGTTTGTCAATGGGGTCAGTGAGGTCAGTGAGGTCATCATGATTCAGCAGGTGAAACCCAGCATTGTTGGAGATGAGTCGCTGGTGAAATCCCACTTAAAATCCACGAATCTTTGCTGGTTTTCTCCCATTTTTATGCCTTTTTAACATCCATGTGATGTGCTGAAATCCAGATGTTCCATCCATAAAATCGCCATGTTTTCCCACCATGTTTCCCCAATTCTCCCACCATTTTCCCACCCTTTTCCCACCGTTTTGCCACCATTTTCCCTGGCGGTTGCGCTCCGATCAAAATACGCCACACGGCGTTCCCACCGCGCCGAGGCGCTCGAAAGAGGTGATGACATTCTGCGCCGCCTGCTGCGCTGCAGGGTTGTCCTGTAATGCGGCGGATCCAGGGGGATCTTTTAGCAGTGAGTAATACTGTGAATCAGCAACCCTGTTTCGATAATTATCCTCCTATTATATAATATTATATCATCAATAATATAGAAGCATATTATTATATGATAATATGATAATATCATCAATAATATGATAAACATGGTGAGTAATAAAAAAAATGAATCACCATGGTTATCATATATTTTTCAGAGGGGTAACCGGGGTAGGTCAACCACCAACCAGTCATTCACCATCAATCACCTTCTGGTAAACGTTTACATAACTATGGAAAGATCCACCATTTTTCATGGGAAAACTCACTATTTCTATGGCCATTTTCAATAGCTATGTTAAATTACCAGAGGGTATTGAATAATGTCAACCCGGATACCATTTAAGTATCAGATGAAATGGAGGAGTACCCCACCTGATTAATAAACCATGGTTTATTAATGCGGTTGACAATACAATAGATATTGAATACAATAGCTTACATAGCATGGTATTACCTACAATAGATATCATAAGTGTATTATGAATGTATTGGGTGTGATACCCATTGATAATAGATAATCCATAACATTGTATTTTGTAGTGGTTGTAGTGGTTATATGTTATTATAGATCATCCACAACTCTTATATTATTACTACCCTGGTTAGTATTGTTCCAGTGGTTAATCACAATACATAATATATAGATGTGTAATTAGCAATAATTAAAAAAAAAAAAACGGTGTTATTGCGGTTATACATATGTATCACCAATCTATTACCACTTTATAATCATTGTACATAATATTTAACCACTAATGTTGGTTATAATTCTATAAATGTCTCTATTATGTTTATACTATTAAAATCACTGTCACTAGCATTACCATCAAACTATTTTCTAACTTTGATCAGTATCATTACTAACATTCAACTAACATACTATTGTCCAATTAGACTCATAGTGATTAATAATTGTAGACTAATTACACATTGTAGCTAATCGATTGTTACCATTATAATTGACACTAGTTTGCAATCTGTAATAGGATCAAGTGATGGGATAATCAATGATATATTCCGAACTGATATGATCATTGTACATCATTTAATTGTTGTTGTTACTACTATGAAAACTATTTATACCATTCACTACTGTATTGTTACTATTGTTCTTACTACCATTGTTACCGGATTTCTGTATCTATCAATAGGGATCTAAAATAGCAATTAATGTATCAACATGATGTATAAGCGTATTAATCAAGGAAAAATGGTGGTGTTACTGGGAAAATCATTGCAAATATTATGGGGATATGATATGATATGTATTTCGAATAATATCCTGATAATATTGCAAACCCCAATTTCATTCCATGACTCAGCGAAAAATAACGTGTCAAAAAAAAAAACAAAACGTGTCTTGAAACAGCTGTCTTTAAGCCTTCCTTTCACAACATATCAATATCCTAAAAATCTTAACAACAAGAATTCACAAGGTGTCTGTTTTAAAAAAGATCCGCTTTAAAAAATCCCCGGAAAGACATCAATTCCCTAGACCAAAACCGATTTCTCCCGTGATGTCACGTACATTTTCCGGAGCCGGTCCTCGAAACTTTGGCTGTAGACCAATATCACATCTACGGTGACACCCACGGGGGACTCACACGGAGGCACCTCATTTCAGCTATGCTACAGCTGAGCTATCGATGAGTTAGCTTGCATAGCCAAACAATGGTGACCGCCATCATAATATATGGTTGATATGTGGTTAATATACTGTTAATTTCATGGTTAATGATGATGGTGATGGTTTTTATATGGTTAATGAGGGTTAATAATATCCTGGTTGATGGTGCAATGTGCCCATCTTGAAAATATGAGTTCGTGAAAGTCAATGGGAAGGATGACATCCCATATATGAAATGGAAAATAATCCAGCCATGTTTGAAACCACCAACCAGGATCTTTTATGTTACCATATTAGATCATATATCCTAGTGGCGATATGACTCAAAACGTGACCATATGAGAGAATAACCGAACGGTGGTGAATTTAATTATGATTTACCGATAAGAAATGATAATGGGACTTCAAATGGTTTATGGCTGGGTAAACCATCTATAAATGGTTAATCTATGGTTTATCTATGGTTAATATATGGATAATCTATGGTTAATGGTTAATAGTTACCCTCTGGTAATGACTGTTACAGTTCGCGAACTTGAAGCCATGGCCCAGTCGAAATAGTGAGTTTTCCCATTAATAGCATGCTGGATCTTTCCATAGCTTTTTGTAAACGTTTACCAGAGGGTAACCAGTTTGCCAAGAGGATCACTGATCAGTAAATATCCGGATGGTATGTTGGGATATCAGCCTCCGCCTTTGTCTCAAAAATGTTTGGAGTTTTGCAAAAAATCTGGGCCACAGGTACTGTGAAAACCAGAAAATTCAGGGAAACCAGCGTTCTTTCGTAGGTGAAATGACCATTTTAATTGCTTGAATTCCTCATTTTTGTTAGATTTCGTTCCCACGACCTGCGAAACTGGGAAAATTATTGGATCAGCATATGGACGTCAGTTCCCCGTCCCTTTGATGTTGCCTCCCATTTATGTCTGCCATTTCGGTCGATGTCAGTGTTGAGAAGTGCTCTGGGTCTAGTTTTCTGGGTCAATCTCTGAATCCCCACCATTTTGGGATGCGAGAGTAAGCATGAATGGAATTACAAACGGACAATGGCTCACCAATCATATAGAAATATTAGTGAATATGATATTAGTTTTTGTCAGAAAATAGGCGACCAAACTCCACAAAATCAACGTTCCCCCCATGAAAATGGCCCTATCAACACAATTTTGTCACATCACATCTCTTTGATCCGACCAGCAAATTCCCATCAAATTTCGATGCCCGGTATCTCTAACTGGTCGAAGCCAACTGGTCATTTTTCCAAAACCAAAAACCACGGTTTTGGGGATGAACATCCATCGCTGCATCTTCTCCATCTTCCCCATGGTTCCGGCACCGTGTTCCAAAGTCCAAACATCTCCGGCATGTCGTTCACTTCGTTCGCATTCGCGAAGGCGCGAACGATGCCCAACTTCCCTAACTTCCCTTCGGCGACCGCGAAGAGCCTCGGAGTGCAACAAAAAGGGAATGGCCGAGGGCCAAAGGCATACTCATCTGTCATAGATATGTCATAGATATGTCATGATACATAAATATGTTGTTAATTATTGAGGGTTATGTCATAGATATGTCATGATATATGTCTTAATTTGCTTTGATACAAACCCAACAATAAAGCCAATGATGAACCTACCATGACTGGGGATGCTAAAAATGCAACGCTCCAATCTCGCAACGCTCCATCACGATGGCGAAAAATGGGGATCCACACCATGCCAAACTGAGCAGCCACCTCATTCAGATCGCCTGTGAAGCTATGACAAAGGGGATATCAACTGGCCATTTTAAAAGGGATATTTTATGGAATATACTAGTATTACTGTACGTATATCACTAAATGTATCGTATTTGTCTATATATATATATATATATTCATATTTATGTTTATATAAGCTTATATATATATGTGTGTATATATAACATAGCATAGTGCTTGAGTGTGTCTGAAAATGGATGGATACCGATACCTCAATTTTCATGGCCACTTGTTGGATGATTTTCCGAGTCCACTTCACCCATGAGGGGCCCAATAAAAAACGCATGATCTTCGCCACGGGTTGACGGCGCCTTTCATCCATCTCCAACATCATTCAACAAATAGCTCGTTTGATTTTTCAAATCTATGTGTATGCTGAAAAGAGTTTTCGCGCATGTGTGCGCATCGTGCTCCGATGATTTCATCACTTGCATGTCGGCATCATAGCTCACTGGTAACAAGTTCGTTCGAGTGTTGGTTCGGTCAATGAGTATGGCTCGAGCATAATTCAACATATTGTCGTCAGCCTATACGGCGTTAAACCTGAACTTCCAGAAACCATGGGGCACGAGCTAGGCCCCTTTTTCGACCAAAAACGCGGCGGAGAGTCATCACGGATTATTCAATGGAAACTTGACAGCCCACGGGCCCATGGGAAAATGGGTCAAAACCCGTTTGAAAAAACCCAAAAAAAGTAGCATTTTGGATTGATTCAGTTGAAAATCACCCCAAGTTTCCAGTTGAAAATCATTGGTTTCGATTCATCCCCCATTTTGGGGTGCGGAAGACTCTCGACATCATCCCAGTTCTAGGGGTCCCAATTTCCGAAAAAAAAACAATTGTTGGTTGGTTAGGCTAGTTTCCTCTATGAAATATATTTTGATAAGCGTGTCATCTTTTATTGATATCAGATGTGTATTGATTGTCTATCCTCTATTCTTAGTAACTTAGTATTGGTTAGTCGATCTAGTTAGACAACTATCGATATCAACTATGAATATCTTAAGCCATATAGCTAGTCAATAGAGTTAGCCATATTATCAATGGCCATGCAACAGGAACCCATTGATTGGAGGTACTTACCATATATGTTTGGCCTTTTTTCTATCAGGCCTAAATTTCAGGGAATCTCCCCACAAATTTACTGGTGCTTAGCAGGGAATGAGGGAATGATCCACAATAACTATCAATAATAATCCCAGCAACCCCCAGCAACCCATCCATTCCCTACGTAAAACGCACCAGTAAGCAAAATATGGCCCAAAATATGGTACGTTTACGTACCTCCATGTGTTGGATCCTGATCTCCCATTGAACCAGCGGCGATGGCGACCGTCCCCATGTCCCTCGATTTGAATTTTTCCTGGGTTTCCGATTGAAAAACATCCCCAGAATTGGTTCAAAACTGGGAGATATCCCGGGATATGTAATATATACATACATAAATATATATATACATATGAGAATCCATGGATTGCTTTAAGGAAATCTATGGGAAAACATGCGTTTATTTAACCATCTAAGAGTTTTCTGGACCATTTGTTCCCTTAAACTAATCCTATCCCTGAGAAGTTGGGCTATGTTTAGGAAGTTTCCCCCATCCCAAAAAACATTGCTGACGACGTGACATCGAGACGTAAGGTCCTCATAACTTACCCATATCTCTATCTCTATCTCTATCTCCATCTATCTATCTGGCTATCTATCTATCTATCTATCTATCTATCTATCTATGTATATATATATATATATTCATATATTTATATATGGAGGAGTATATAGTAACCCCCAGAAGATAGAACCTCATGTCCAGGATGGTACAGACAATGTATTCCTCAGAATGATTTTTTTAATCTTTTTTGGGGGTTGTTATGTAGACTACTTACATGTAAGCCATAACCCACGGATTAACACAGATTTGTGTGTATTAAATTTGTGTGTATATATACATAGCAACCACAAAAAAAGATGCGGAAGTGTAGAATCCGAATCCAAAATATTTATTTTCATTGAACCATTTTTATCTCTCTTTTTGGGTGATACTATATACATTAATCTGACTGAGGTAGATTAATTTCACTATGGTCCCATATGCTACACGGAATTTCCCCTGCATTTCATGGGTTTTCCCAGTAAGAAACCACATAATTTTTCGATGATCTTCACATCGTTTTTTTCCCTATTTTTCCATGGTTTTCCCCAGATTTTCTAAGGGAATTCCCATATCTTTCCCATGGCTTTTCTCAATCTCGCATTTGTCCCAGGATTTCCCGAGGCTTTTCCCATGGCTTTTCGAACTATCCCCAGCCACCTCGTCCAGTGTGCTCCGATTTTTTGGGCCACAGCTCGTCCAGTTCGGAGGCGCTTAGCCGCCACTTTCGGCATCGAAAGTCGATGAAGATCAATTTTATGTGAAAATAGTATTAATATACTTGATGATATTTATATATCCATCTAATATAGTAAATAATATCTAATATAGTATTGTCATCTTAGTTATTATATTATAGTAGTTAAGATTATGGTAATATTAATATAGAGCAATATTATAGTAGTTAATAGTAGCTAAAGTACTAATATATTATCTCTCTATAGTAGCAATATTATTATATTAATATTATCAGTTAATATTCTGTTATAGTAGTTAATGTTATTGTTTATGTTATTGTTATTGCTGATAATGACATGGTATATAATATTTAATATAGTTAATGGTACTTAATTACAATGAATAATGGTATCATGATAATAGTTTAATAATAACTATAATACTTAATAATAATATCAATGGCTGATAATCTATATGAAATCAGTATACTTATATACTAATTTATATCAACAGAATATCATTTATAAATCTAATATAGTTAATGACTTAGTATTTTATCATAACTTAGTATTATCATCTTAGTTATTATATTATAGTAGTTAAGTTAAGATTATAGTAATATTATTTTGATATATCAGTTAATATTCTGTTATAGTAGTTAATGTTATTATTTTATATTTTGATGGTAATAGCAGTTGATATATGTGATAATAGTTAGTGAAATTAATAGTTAGTGATTTGATATATTGAATATCATTAATACTATGTTGATATTTTTAGTAGTTAATATGATATTAATATTCCAATGCATGATAGTAGTTAGTGATATATTGGGTGATATTCTTAGTATCTTGCATATACTAGTACTACCATTTGGTATAGTAGCCTCTGATAGTATCTTAGTAAACCCATTATCTATTGATGGTAACATCTAGATCAATGATAATATCAGTAAATCAATAGATATAATAATTGAAACAATACTATTAACTACCATCTGGTTATTTAACATAGCGGACTGGAAAATCCCTCATAAATGGAGGTTTATAGCTGGGAAAATGATCTATTTCTATGGGCCATGGCTTCCATGGCTATGTAACAAATAACCAGAGGGTAACTATTAACCATTAACCATAGATTCTCCATATATTAACCATAGATAACCATAGATTAACCATTTATATCTATAGATCCCCATTGTTTATATAACTAGATATGATATCTATTAACTAATCGATCGATTGATTGAGATCATGTCGATCGATACCAAGAAGATGGCGGAAAGATTTCGCAGTCATAGATGAATATTACCAATAAAGAACTGCCGTTCTAGAAATTACCATCTATAATCTATCAAGTACCAATTATGACATATACTCTCAATGTTTTTTCCTATAGATATTATAGTATGTTGCATGTTTTATTGGTAAATACAGATTATGTTTCATACTTTGTAATTAATTTGGCCAAAAACAAATAGAAAGTGAACATAGAATAATTGTATAATTGGTATAATACAAGCTTTGTTATGTATAAGAATATAGTATAGCAATAATCTAATATCTGTATGAGGCAAGAATTGTATTCTAGATTAATTGATAAAAATAGAATGGGGTATAGAGTAGTGCTATAATTAAATAATTGTATATTATAATGCTTTGTGTGCGTGTGTGTTTGTTTTTTTTTTGGGGGGGGTTTTCGATCTAGATTGTATCAAAGGTATATGATGTGGTAAACCCAATGCCAATAAATAATCCATCCTCAATATCACCAGAAATAAATGGTATTTCAACCCTCCCAACCAACCTTGCAAATTGGAAGTTTATGATTGGGTGTACCACATTACAGCATATGTATACATGGTATATTTATTTCTATATATATATACATATGCATGCACATATCCATCAATAGAGAGAGAGAGAGCACAGAGAGATCCCAAAAAAACATAGGAAAACTTTTGCAGAATGTCCCAGGTTTCCAACTTTTCTATCTACCATGTGCTGTTTATATTGTATATATATATATACGTATACATATCATACACATATCATATGTATAACATTAAATAATATGTATATATATAATATAATATAATATGTACATGTATATATATATATATATATATCACTCTTTGTTTTCGACCACAAGATCCATGGCAGGCCATACTGGCACCCCACCATGGGTGACGATGTGCATGAACGACCGGACGGTTCAGCCGCGTCGTTTCTTGGCCGACAACAGCAGGATCTGACAACGATCTTTTTGTGCCCAGACCCTGCCACTGTGGCAACTCATTTCGGTGACTCGTCGCAGAAAGCATAGCATCGATTGTGCAGAACGCATCGTAGATGGAGTCC